AAGTAAAATGTAGCTCACTTGGAACTCTGCTCTTCCAGCTATGCAATTTCTGAGTAAACCCATTTCAAAACTACTTTGGGCAACTCTACTCTTCAGTGGAGCCTAAAGAACAAGGGCACAGCCCATTTATAATTCAAGCCACCTTTCTCTCAAAAGTAAAAAAATATAAATTGAGAGTGTGCCAACACCACATACACTGAAAAAAAAAAAAATTCACGTAAGAGAGATACCAAGAGCCTCAATAAGTTAAAATTTTTACTCAGTGAAGACTGTTACAAAATGAGCGATTGCATTTGAGATCTCGGTAGACAGTTACCATTCTGCTTTAACCTAAGATACCTCGAACATGTTTTCCCAAGAAAGACATGAGTGCTACAAATATCTAACAGGTCAGGAATGAACAAGTATGATCAGCTACATAAAATGGTAAACATGAACCCAAACTATTAAGTTGGCATTGCTCCATAAATCACATCAAAGAAAGATCTAGCCTGTGATCAAGCACAAGACAATCCTATCTAGAGATTTTAATTGCTTTTGCCACTGAGTTTTGAATACTCCCCCAAGTAGTTTAGGTTTTGCTTACCTGGGGTAAGAAGTGTGCTTTTCTTGGGGGGGGGAAAAAAAAAAAGAGACAGCATTTAGGGAAAATACATACAAGAAAACCACTAATAAAACTAAGAATGTATATTAATTTATCCATTCTAGCATCAGGGATATATTTAGATTGCTTAGGTAGCTATTAAGCTTATAATGAAAATGCTTGGTTGTAAAGAGAATAATTTAGACTTTTAAAAGGAGACACGCAAGATGTCCGATGTGGACATAGTTTTGCTTAGCATGTACAACATAGCTTGTTGAAACAATTTAAAGTAGTCAGTAGGGTATTACATTCATACTTACAGAGGTAATAGATGTCAATAATCTCTTTGGAGTAATAACCTATGAAAAACAAGATGATAGCATGACAACCAAGTACATTTCATTTATATTTACATGAAATGTATCCATGACCAAAATGCCATTCAAATTTTCTTGTATAAAGCAATCTGAGTGGTGGATAATTCTTGTTATAAATCAACTAGATTTGTTTTCCTGGACTAAGTTATAAACTGAATAATTCCACTAGAGTATTTTATGAACTATAAAAGCTCAAGAAACACCTATTCAGAGTACAACAAACATACATTTGCACCATTAGCAACACAAAACTAACCACTAACTGGGTACAAACTACAGGTGGTTCAAAACCAATATTCAGCCTCTATTTACATGTAAATTGTGCAAGAAATATTTCCATTGTTTCTACAGTATGTTCAGCACTTAAAATGAACAAGGCACTCTTCTCTGTTCTGGCAATTTGGGTTGTGTCAACACCCACAAATCTTTTCATCGTGTCAAGTTACAAATATAACTCTGTGTGTTCGAAGTCAGCAGTTTATACTGCATTTATAATTTACCTTCAACAAGTGATTACTTCCATAAAAGGAATAAAAGCAAAAAAACTTGGTTTTATGATGTCTATTCATTTTCTCACCATCACCAGGTTCATCAGCAGAAAGTGAAAACTAAGGAGCTGCAGAACCAGGTAGGTATCCATTTTCAAGGGGGAACTTCATGTTCTACATAAGTAGTCTCAAAAGTTCATCTTTATCTGAGAGAAAAGTGGATGTTTAAAGCAGGGGGGAGAGGAGGAGCTATTGGATTTCTTTGTATATGAGCGCCAATAATTGCATTAAGAATTGAGCTCAAGCAAACCTTTCAGAAGCCTAATTTACTACTTAAAGTCAAACAAAGCCAAGGAGGTAATGTTTTATGAAGGCTTAGATATTTATTTACGTACTCTAAAGTGTTCCAGTTGTGCATATCTGGCCACTTTTTCTATATACTTCTCTCTACTTGGTTTGTAAACCTGGTGGATCAGGCCTTATGTTGCACTTGCATTGCCTAGTGCTCTCACCCACAGAGGCCTGTAGGTCTAATTCTAGCATGCATTAACAGATCACAGTTTGAAAGATTATTTCGTTCAGCTTCAAGATATTGACTTTTCGCTAAGAGAACCAAGATACCCCTTCCCACACACACGTGAAAATTTTGCCAACCCAAGAAAAAAAAAAATGGCATAAAATATACCACCACACTGTGTACTGGAAGAGCAAGCCCAGTTTACCAAGCTCCAGAAGAGAATAAACCAAGATGGAGGCCCGAAAAAGTTAACAGGGCAACAATGTTTTACAAAAGTGGATATGCCTGTAACCTGTACTAGAAGCACTCTATAACAGCTGCAATAATTTGCTACAAAAGTTATAGCAGTAAAAGTCCTACTGTATTGACTTGAATACAAGACGAGCTGTCACTCCCTGCTCCCCCCATTCCCAGATCATCATGGGGAAAAGGACCCCGTCTTGTATTTTCATATCAGCAAACCGCCCCCATTAAAATGCATTCATTATCATTAAACCACTGCAAGAAGCAACATGTGCTCAGTCAAGGAAACCAAGATAAGGGAAAATGTGGGGGTGGGGCAATGGAATCAGATGGCTGGGAGGATTAGGCAACTACTGCTGGGGTCAGGCAACTGCTAGAATCAGACCCAGAGCAGTCTCCTGCCCTCCTCCACTTGTCCTCTGCAACTTCTGCCCTTCCTTCTGTCCTTACTGTCACAAGCAGCTCACTTTCACATTGTGCATGGAGAAGGAACAGAGCCTGAGCAGGGGCTGACAGTAAAGGTGGGGTGGGGGAAGAGAGCTGCAGAGAGACTGGGAGGGGAGGGGAAGGGGGTGACAGAGCAAGGGGCCATCTGAACCCCCAGCCACTATTTCCCCTGCTGTAGCAGTAGAAAAAAAAGTGGACAAATTCAAGACAACCCTCTAATAAAATTTTTCAGGTGTAATTATAACAAATGTGTCTTATTTTTCCCCACACATGGAATCTAATTATTGGGTTGGTCACCTTATAGTCAAGTAAATACAGCAACTGTCTTCTCTGTATTTAGAGGCAACATTCTCTTTCTACTATTACATGGTTAATGGAAACTTTTCAATTTGGCCACTGTATAGGGTACTAGCATACAATTTCTATTTTGAGAATGAAAATCAAATAGCAAAGGGAATGAGTACACCAAGAATCATTACCAAGGAGGCATAAATATCTTGTGCTAGACGAAAGTTTGGAATGCATGGCACTTTGCAGAATTGCTAGAAGAGAAAAGCAACATTTGAAATTTCAGTAGCCAGGGCAATACCACATAACTTGTAATTGCATCTGATCTCTCCATTTTCAGAATTAGAATCGCTGCACGCTCCATTTTCCCTTTGTTTTGGATCTAAGTCTAGCTTCTGTTGAACTCAAGTATAGCAATTCTCATTTTCATTTACCTTAGATTTATTTGTCTTCTTTCTCTTCTCAATTCCTGTGCTCTCTTTCCTCTGAACCTGTAAAACCAAGAAATATTTGAGAATTAAGGAGTACATAAATTCAAGTGCCCTCTTAATAAAAAGACATGTACATACCAAACTGTAAACTTCTATGTTTATTTCAAAGTCACTGGATACATCTTGCCTATAACAAAAAAGAGGACACGAGTTAGATATGGAATGATGCCTTAATACCAGAGATAATATTTTAAAATTAGTTCTTTTAAAAGAGAGGAACAGTAGTTAACAGTAGCTTTTTACTCTGAAAGGAACATCTACAATAGATTTACCAAAACTTATAAAGATCATGTGTATGAGAAGATATTTGTGTGCGCGCGTGCACGCGTCTGTGTGAGCCATGGCCTATCCTTTCAGGCAAGTGTCACTTCTTACATAATATGTTTACCTATACTGAGTCTGTTTCAAGAAGTGTGACCCCCTCTGGCCAAGCATAAGCAACGTTAGTGTATTCTGAGATATTAGTATATTGCTACCTCAAACTAGATTCCAGAACTCACAAATCAAGGAGAAAAACAAAACAAATAAAAAAAAATCCTGAACACACCCAGTTACCTATAAACAGGACAACATGCAGATCCTCATCCCACAATCCAAAATTTGTGTCAACTGACAACAATTTTTGTTGTTATCTGCTAACACAGCATTAGTGCCATGCACAACTCCCCAGACACATTTAGGACTTGATTTTATTCATTTTCAAAATGGTCTATACCCCATCCCAAGGAGACCACTAAACTCGTAAGTCTTCAGGTTAGGCATTCCTAACAATCTGAAGATACTTTAATATCTTTTTAGTTCAGAACATCGTGATCTTTCAAGACACCTGCAATAAAAGGCTACACAGAATTCCAACATCAGAGGACACCTTGGGGAGAATAACCTGTCTGCCATTGCAGGTGTTCCAAAAGAGAATGAATGGAGAAGGTGAGAGTAGCTGATAGATTGTAGAATAAATCTAAATTGCATTTCTGAGAAGAAATGGTTACTAAGGATATTATTAGAAGCAGAAAACACTTATCCCACAAAACCCAATAGCTGTTTGCAGAATGAGATATTTTTTAGAAAAAAGGTCAAGATTGTAAGCTAGGTCAAAATACTCATCAGTAGAGTTCTGAAATGGTTTCTTCATACTTACAAAGTAAAAGTTGTAGTAAAAATAAGAGCATCTCCATTTAGGGAACTTGCAGTACTTGCTAAGGGAGTTGCTACTATATTTTCAGCTCCAGATCTCAATAATATTATGTAGTAGTAATTTGCTGCATCTGTAGACAAATTTGAGACCATTTTCAGTAGAACCCTATGAACCGCTAGATTTTTGAAGCACTGAAATGCTCCTTCCCCATCCCTCTCACACATTTGGAGTATGGCTCAGTTAAAAATTCTTGAATTCATTATTTTCAACTTTTCAGTTCGTTTTGTTCCACTATGTTCAGTGCTCATCTCTACAGGCTTCAGCAGTTACAACAGTATTCAAGCAGCTCAGCTGAGTTTTATATCCTACCCAGTGCATGTATGTAGTCCAGGGGTCAGCAACCCCTTGCACGCATGCTAAGCATGGCACACAATGCCATTTTGCCCAGAACGTCATGGCCAGCCCGAGCTCTGGGTAGCTGCTGCTAGCAACGGAGCCCGGGCTGCTCCCAGCAAGCAGCTGGGAGGCTGCAAGCAGCCTAGGCTCCATGATTGGCAGCAGCTACAGAGAGCCGGGGCCGGCTGCAGCCGGGAGACTACACACAGCTGCACTGGGCTCCAGAGCCCAGACATAAGCTCTGTACCAGCGTGTGCATGCGCGCCTTGAAGCAGGCAGTGGGGGAGGGGCCTGAGGCAGCACAACCCCGGTCCCTCCCCTGCTCCCGGCACAGAGCTAGTGATTGGGCTCTGGAGCCCGGCACAGATGTTTGTAGCCAGCCTGGGCTCTGGACAGCTGCAGCAAGCAGGCTGCAGACAGCTGTGCCAGGCTCCACAGCTCCGGCATCAGCTGCATGCTGGCGGTGACTGTGCGCACAGCTCAGGGCAGACAGCAGAGCAGTGCCGCCGCCGCCTCCCTCCGAGGTGCACATGCAGTCACCGCCAGCATGGAGCTGATGCCAGAGCTGTGGAGCCCGGCACAGCTGTTTGCAGCCTGCCAGCTGCTTGCTGCAGCTGCCCAGAGCCCAGGCTGGTTACAAACAGCTATGCTGGGCTCCAGAGCCCAATCACCAGCTCTGTGGCGGGAATGAGTCAAGAAGAGACCGAAGTTGTGCTGCCTCAGGCTCCTCCACCACTGCCTGCTTCAAGGCGTGCATGCACACGCCAGTAGAGCTGATGCTTGGGCTCCAGAGCCTGGCGCAGCTGTTTGCAGCCTCCCGGCTGCAGCTGGCCCCAGCTCTGGGTAGCTGCTGCCAGCTGGGAGCCTGGGCTGCTCCCAGCAGGCAGCTGGGATGCTGCAAGCCCTACTGGGAGCAGC